GATCGGTTACCATCACCAAATTTTTTGGAATAATACCTTAATTTGGTCACCATCTCTTCCTTCTGCATTTTCCCCCAATTCATTATTTACGTAATAATCATCTGTTATTCGACACTGTATGATCTTAAAAGTTGAAAGTGTCATAAAATGAGTCAGTTTATAAATAGTTTTTGTACAAGTGTCAAGAGAGAAATAAGGAAATAGGAGTTGTTATTCTTGTAAAGGCAAAGTTACTCCAGGCTCAATAAGTATCACAGGGGCACTGAGTTAAAGCTCAGAGCACTCTAAACACGCGGCTTTCGTGCTTCGTTTGTCTCATATGACGCACAGTTCCTCAAGCGAAAAATTAAGCACAGTGTGTATGATCACTGTATCGTAACAACGCTTCTCTGGTCAATATTTGACTCTGTATTAAGTAAGCCAATCCCACAATTGATCCATCTGTCCGCTCATTACCTCTATTATTTTAAGCTGCTGACGTTTGGCACACAGATCCCTACGTGAGTTTGCAAATAGTTTGTGCAGCTATCAGACCTAACGGTAGCCAGGGAACTGGTTGTTGCATCTGGATGGCACCTACGTGTGTGTCACGGCCTTTTCCTCTAGATCCCCTGAGAAATTATTCACACACGTCATTTTATTAAGCAGTTAACAAACTCGTGATGCAATTTGCTTCCTGTTCGGAAAATACACTCTATATTTAAAATTCAGAGTTACTGATTGTTAATGAAGGTGGTACATGTAGATTTCACTGGGTCTTGAGATTGAAAAACACTGGACGGCCATAGAAATTTTATGAGCAAAACCAGCTCTTTATTCATTAAACAGTACTGTACTCTACTTTAAGTAGGCTTTAAGTCATCGGCCTACATTTATTGAATTTGTTGTGTTATTTAACACTACGCTTTTCTTACTTTACCTGTCTGCTGTTAGTTTGCACATTAATTAAAGCTCAAATTTAAACACTGTGTAAACACTCCTCAGGACATGCGCACGTGAATAGACAGAAAACAAGGTTGTTGCATTTCTCTTCCAGGGGAAGTGGCAGGCAGTTCCACATGGAACATGGGGTCGTGTAAGTTAACACATCATACAACAATAAAGCTGTTTCTGAAAATGTTATGTACGTAGTTAGAATGTGATACTTTAATTTGTCATAGCATAGAGCCTAGTTTGCTACCGATAGACTTATCAGTGACTGCTACTTACATAGAACCATCGATTCGTTATGAAATGACCAACTCCGCACCATCAAATTAAGGTAACTCTGCAACTTTGGCGTCATATTTTATAAACATCCACTGGTAACATAGTTAGTAGTTTTTTTAATGAATCACTATCAGCTTCGTAAGAAATTTTTAAATATTAATAAAAACATTTACACATAAGGGGTGTCAGTGTCACTAATATTTGTCGGTGCCAGTCTTCTGGTTAGACTTGTAGGTATGTACCAACTTTTCGGAGGAACATACTACTTCCATATTCAGAGCTACTCATGGCACTTCAGTATCATCTTCAGGACGTAATATGGCACTTCAGCCCTGAAGACTGAGGCAGTATGTTCCTCCAAAACGTTGATATCTATCTAAAAGACAACATGGCGTCAGAACCCAGAAGACCAACATCGATATCTTCATCGCCGTCACAACCTCAACTCACTTATCACTAGGATGTATCTGTGTTATAAGCAAGCAGTCATTGGCGTAAGTGTATTACTAGTCATTATTCCGCTGTTTCACCTGTGCAGGTGACTTCAGTTGCTACATGTAGGAGTTATCGCCAAATTATGTATTATTTGTTGGGATTTTCATTTCTGCTGCTCGAAATGAAGCCTGCTTACTGCCGGAACTAGTTCTTCCCCGGTCTGTCAGCGTCCGCTCACCAATACAAAACGTTAAATTAAATAAATTTATAAATTTTGAACACAGTTAATTAGATAATTTGTTTCTGAAATATGCACTCTTTTGTTTTTATCCCCAGGGAAGATTTTAAAACAATATTAATAGAATTTACATATCTCACATATACACAAATGAGCCGGTGTTTCCGAATTATATGGCTTGACTCATTCTGGTTGGAAAATGCCTTTCATGAATTAAGAGAGAAGCGAAATTACCCGTTCTGTTTGTAATCTTTGTCCGTACGACATCGAGAATCTGTATTGAACATGAATATTCTTCGCTTACTTGTCTGTAGCCTGTGTTCAGTCTTCAGCTATTACAATTTTGTGAGCGAAGTTCCGGTCGTTCAGGTCCCATTCCGAGGGGTCTCTAGTAGGTTAAACGTTCTAACGTTGTAACGGTAGTGGTGTGTTTGCGTGCGTGCGAGTGTTCTATGTTCCGTGATCTGAAAGCCGGGATTCAGTCGTTAAAACGTCACTGTCTTTTCCATTGTAGTAATTTAGTAAGAATTATAAAGCTGTGATCAGAATCGGTGATATCTTCATTTCTGAGATGCAGGATGCAGGACCCTCGTTCCGCCGGTCTGTACCGAACTCCTGCTTTCTGTTCACCGAGAACAAATGTCTCGACTCTGTATTATAAAAAATCAGCTTTACCTGTAACTGGGTCTTTAATGGGCTTCTTAATTCCTGTCGTTCGTATCGAAAGTCGCTCATTCAGTAACAAGAAATTCGTTTTTTAAGTTTCTCTTCGTCAGTAGTCTCAAATAGGTACAATTTCAACGTCTTGTCGAATTTAAATTTAATGACTTTGCGTTCTTTGAACTCTTTTTCAGTTCGACCGCCCTTATTTCGTTTCGTATTTCTATTTCTTTCGTCATTTCTTTCTGACGTCTCCATCCTTATTTTGTATTCTTTTCTTTTTTAAGCTGCTGTTTCATTTCCATGTAGGTTTTAGAAAGCAGTCACAAAATTCAAGGGAGATCACGTTTTATTGTGGTATTAAGTAACGTCACTTGTTGATACCTCAAATTGCACTGTATTTTACTTACATTGAATGTGTATGCCTTGTAGACTAAGGAAGTATGATCATACAATTATAATTGTGAAAATCTCAAAAACATTCTAAATATCCATTATGTAACGTAAAAAATCAGATGTTTTAATACATTCATAAATCGAAGCCGGATTTTCTGAGTATATAACTTTAAATTATGTCGATACTTGAACATAGTGAGCGTCTTCTCAAAACGAACATATCCGTGGTTTCTAAAGTCTAGAATTAATAGAAATTTGTGTTATTAATGTGCCTTCCGCTAGTGTTGTATCACTGCGCATGCACGCACACACATTTATTTGTTGATGCATTTTCATTGAAGTCGTGCTGTTCTACACAGAGGTCTCTGTTGACATTCTTTTGATATTTTGTATGGTTGAGTGCGTAGTGTAGATCGCTTTATTCTATAGGACGCAGAGCAGCGTAAACGTGCCTGTTGAATCTGAACGACAGAGCATAGGTAAACAGGAGCTGCGTAATAGCAGTTACTGGCCTAATATATTTATTTATATTTTATTTAGTGTTCTGTCTGACGACAGGTCCATATGAACAGGATCCTTCCATCCTTTTCTCGGACTGGGACCTGTTCATATACGTTCTTGGCAGATGATCCAGAAGTGGTTTGCCATTGCCTTCTTCTGTGTGTGAATGGAGTAATTGTTGGGATGCCACGGAGAAACCGGGGAAGCCCCCGGAGGAAAACTCCGTGTTGCCTAGACCACGGCCTTGCCCAACACAAGTTATAAATTCGGGCACCGCCGGGAATCGAACCCGAGACCCCAGGATTACAAGGCCAGCGTTCTAACCGCTAGACCACCGTGGCCATACTGGCCTAATAGTAACAATAATTTCTGTGAAATAATAATTCTGTTAGTACGTCATTCCCATTACTGCGCTGCATGAACAGTGAAGTGGCCAATAAGAACAATGGTGTAAGATTTGAGGTTTTCACAGCTGTCTTCTGGGTTGTTGCGCTGTGTAGCCCTGATGACGGAGGCAGTATGACCTCTGAAACGTTGGTAAACATCGACCAGACTACACAGCGAAACAACCCAGAAGACAGAAATCTTCAAGAACAATGGTGATAACAGTAACACAGATTTTTACATTGCTCGTGAAATATAAAGTTTTGTTGATGTAGTTTATATCATATTTCATCTCAAAGGACTTACAATTTACATTTCAATCGAAATACATTACCGTCGTGTTCTTTACGCATTTTATTACAGTTAATAACCTTCAGCATTTTACTTTCTGTTTGCTTCGTTGTTATCTGTGCATTATTGCTTGGAGGCCATCATCACAGCGTGCTAGTCGGTATCCATCATACAAATGTTCACTTTTCTATGTGCTTTCGTCTTCAAATAAAATTTATTAGGTTATTTTACACACTTAAATATTGATTTCTACAACAAATTAAAATAATAGGCCAATTCGTTATTTTTACGTCTAAAATTGTCGTCAGCCTTGAGAGGATGAAGATGGGTTTAACTCATTTGTACATGGCTGGTCAGTTCAGATGAATTCATTGCATTCTGTAACCAGAAAGCTTCCGACCTTACAAAATAGCTAAATGTTGAAACGTTTACATTTGCAAAAATATTACGATATATACTTGATGTAGGACTACAGCCGCTGTTGGCTGTTTGTAAGCTGTGTGTCACTCACTGGGTTGTTAAAGTTTCAGTTCTCTGAAACGTGTATATATAATTTGCATCGTGTTTTACGATTAGTACTAAAACATGCTCTATAGAACACGCGGCGACCTGTTCGCCTCTTCCGCTCGCCAGAGGGTGCAACAGCCGATCTAAGTGACGTTTCTCAGTACTCTCTGTTGCAGACGGTAGTGGAGGCCTGCCAGAAGAAACGACAGTGCAAGTTCCAGACTTCACCCAAGACCTTCGGCGGAGATCCGTGTCCGGGCGTGCGCAAATACGTCGAGGTCGCTTACAAGTGCCGTCCATGTGAGTACAAAATACCCCAATTCATGAAGGTTACGACTGCGATTCGCAATCGATTAACACTCGCTGATTGATCACTGCAAGTGGCGTTCGTTCAAAGGAGACGTTTGTCAGGTATTTGGAACTGTAAGCCAGGAAAGGAACGTTGCTATGTCGTCTTTGTAACTTTCCGACTGCACGCCGATGGAAGGCCAGATTTTGTCGCTCAAGGTCCACTCACCTCAACTCATATAATGAACGAAGTGTTGTTATTCAGGAGATATGAAACGCCTGTTTTGGAACGTGAAGACTTGTAAACATTAACACAAAAGCTTTCCATATGATACTATTCATAAAACATAGATCTTACTAAGATGTGGAATAGTTATTTTAAATATAAAACGATGTATGACCCAGACTAGTATGATAGGCCGACAGGTAGTGTGATAATTTTTCAACAGTAGATTTGTATCTGCAATAAACAAATAAATATCAAAACGAATGAAATGCCACATGGAAAAGATATTCTGGGGATATCCGTCTTCTGGGTTGTTGCGCTGTGTAGTCTGGTCGATGTTAACCAATGTTTCAGAGGTCATACTGCCTCCGTCATCAGGGCGATCGCCCTGATGACGGAGGCAGTATGACCTCTGAAACATTGGTTAACATCGACCAGACTACACAGCGCAACAACCCAGAAGACGGATATCTTCATACTCACCGCTGTGAGAATCTCAAGTCTTACAAAAGATATTCTAGTTCATTATTTCTGTTTTCCAACTTGCCACAGTACTTTTCTCGCCTCAAAGACCAGCGATGTCAGAAGGGCTGTTATGCGAACGTTGCCTAGCAACGGGCCACGATGCTTGTAAGGCCCCTTGTGGGTGTTTTGTGAGGTCGGAAGTGGTGATGTACCACGCAGCGCGTTACAAGGACCCGCAGGGAAATTACCGACAGCCGTTCCCAAGCGGAGCAGCTCCTTTGAATTGAAAGAAATGCGGTCCGTCTGTGTCGTACAAGAAATCTCTAAACAGATAGGATGTTAAAAGTTGGTAGAGTGAAACGAACGGGCCTGCGTCTTTATGCAAGACTTGTTCTTATTGCAGTGACCTCTCTTTTACATTTTTACATTTATGCCGATAGAACTAACAGCTGGCTTTTTCTTGCCAAACTGTCACTGACCTGGCCAAGAAACTTCCTGGTTTTATGAAACCAGAATATCCCTTGCCGTGTTTATACGCGCCCGGTAGTGGTCTTTGCAATGGTTGTGTTGTTTTCTTTGCGGTGCTTACTGATTTCTTAAATACTATTTAAAGTAGTTTAGGCGTCAAAGGGTTAAATATATTTTCGGTGACACTTTCTTGCAAAGTCTGAAACGGTGTGAGATTTAAGATCGGCGTGAAAATGTGGATTATGGTCTCGGGTAATGACGCGACGTATCCTTATAACTGGTGAGCAACGTTTCAGTTGAACATATCTCCTCACTCTTCGGAGTAGATACATTGTAAAATGCGCACTCAAGTTTCTGGAGGTAGTTTGTAAAGAAGTGCAATTTCGGGCACGATTGTGTAATGAGACTGCACGTACTGATCGAGGAGTCCGCTGTTCCAGATGAGTTCCGTAGCAAGGTGGCGTGCGAGAACGACGTTGTGCCCCTCAAGTGCAATCCGAACGCGCGCATCGCAGTCTACTCCGCCAGCTACGGACGAACGGAGTACGAGAGCATCCAATGCCCACAGCCCCAAGGCGTACCTGAGGAAAGTGAGTGCCTTTTCCGCTTTTAATGTTCGTTGTTTGAAATTTGAAATGCGTTCTTCATGTCTTCTTGTATTTTGTGTTAATGTCGGTAGATGTCTGTCACAATGTGGTATTGATAGACAGCAGTTTGGGCACGTGAACAAATGTTAATTTTAAATGTCCCTGCTTCAAAAATTTCAGATCGTCATGAAACACGACTGTTAAGATAACAGTCGTGTTTTGCAGTAGTCAGTCTTCGTAGCGTAGTGGTTGATTAAACACATTTACGTTACCATTCTTGTACTTTAAGATGGCAGTTAAGGTCTGCACGGGCAAGGGCCTGTTCCCTGGGGTTTCGACCCGACCGGGGCGGAGGCCGGGATCCGACCCCGGTAGCACAGACAATGTTTGAGTCCGAGCCCCTTTCAAATAATTACAAAACATTTGCCTTCCCATCTCTTCTCTAAAGACGCAGAGATTAAAATACACAAAACTGTCATTTTACGTGTCATCTTGCCTGAGTGTAGAATTTGGTGCCTGACGCTGAGGAATTGTCAGCCAGTCTTGGACGGCAGCGCTGCTTGTCCCGTGGTGTTGCGATAATGTGATTTGTTGCAGCGTGTCTTGTGAGCTACGCAACGGAGACAGTAATGAACATATGTCACGGCAAGCGACGTTGCACTTTGTCCGCTGACTCGGCGACCTTCGGCAGCCCTTGCAAGCCGGAATCACGGATGTACCTCAAGGTGGTCTACACTTGCGGTGAGTACCTCGGCGACAAAGTGACCACCTTTCTGTGTGATAAATTTCACCCTGAATGTTAATTTCTTGAGAGAACGACTTATGATGCCCTAGACTGCAAGGGCTGATTTATCAATACGGAAAGGTTGATTTTCCTTTTGAGATGCATATTCATGTGCAGATATTCAGTATTTACAAAGTACATAGCCTAATTCTGTGAGATTTGAGGTTCTTAATTTTTTACGGATTTCTGATAGATTTAAATGCGATGTCTGATAACAGTAGATACGTAGTATCCAGTGGTCTTAATGGTGAACAGGTGCGGATTTGGAGACGTGGGGCGTTGACATGTGTCAAGATATTGTCTCGTCATTCCTGTGGCGACATAGTTAAACTTCAGGATCGCCGGTAAACCGAAACCGTTATCCCCCAAATTCCAAACTTGTGATTTAATATTGTGTTTTTGAAATACAGTGATTGCCAGTAGTGAAACTTCGGGATCGCCGGTAAACCGAACCGTTATCTCCCGAATTCCAAACTTGTGATTTATCATTGTGTTTTTGAAATACAGTGATTGCCATATCTCTGCCCGATGTTTTTAGTTACATTTTAATTTTATCCGTCCAATTACAGCTTTTGGCTCCCAAGTGGTCGCCATCTACAGTATTCACACCGGGCACGTCAATGCAATTACAACTTTTGGCTCCCAAGTGGTCGCTATCTACAGTATTCACACCGGGCACGTCACCCTAACTGTACCGTTCTATAATTCTTTTGGGAGGTGTCCGATTCAAATTTTGGCCTCAGAAGACCTCGGACTACGGTTAGTCTTGCAATTGTTTTGTGGTTTTACTAAGTTTCTGTAGGTAAATATCAGAATACTGATCTAAAATAAGCCACGGCCGCCCCTTCGAAAGTCTTGCCAACTCCTGATCTTCATATCCTATTGGACGACGCTGTGTAATTAAGTAGTTAAAACATCGTTTTTAAATAATAACGATAATAGTTGTGGCGTCCATGAAGCAGGTGAGGTTTACGAACTGGAATTTTAAACTCATTTTCCATTTATGCTGCTTGTGAAGCCCATCTTAAACAAACGATTCGATCATACTAACGGTGTACTTCTAATTACAGAAATTATAAGTTTGTCCATCTGCCATTTCGTTGTCGGCTTGCAAAGTTGGATTGGCTGCAGGGCGACTGTCGACTGTTTTGCTCACTGGGCAGTAAGTCCCGTCACTTGTTTCAGACCGCTAATTGGACTCTGACATCACACACAACTCTGTGGTCATAATTTGTGTCGGTGAGGCTCAACTTCGCTCGGTCGAGTTCAGCTTTGTCAGACTAAAATCAGCGGACACGTGACTCCACAAACCTGAATTATTTAACGTTCTTTTCGTCCTTGGTCTTTTTTCTCCTTTCTTTCTGTTATTTTTCGTTTCTCGGTTTACAATATGGCGTCTTTCTGTCTTTTCTTATTTCCATCTTAAATTGATTATTTCGTTTATTTTTAACTTATTTTAAATTTTCGGTGATTAACGCGTGCAGTGCTGGCTTTCTTCCTTTGTTTTTTCAACTTTTCACTTCACTTCCCTTCCTCCCGAGATCATATTCTTCGGCTTATAGCGTAGACGTTTGTTTCTTATACTTGATTTATTGTCATTTTAAATTAATAATCCGTGCTTTATCTTTCTAATCTTTCACATTTTAGTTTTATTCAATATTTAATCCTATCTCTTGTGGCCATTCTTTTGTATGTCTCCTTTTCATTATCCTTCACCCCTTACATACTCATTTAATCTTCACTCGTTTCCTTCTATTTTCTTCGTTTAAATTACATACTTCGTACATTTGTCATTTTGTTTATTCACGTCTCTTCATCCGTCTCTTAACACCACTTTTTCTCTGTTCCCACTTCTTCGTTGTTTTCCTTCTTGTCTCTTTACGCTCCATTTTCATATTTCCCATCGCCTAGAATCTCTGTCAATTGGTGTGACAGGTATACACGCTGCCAGTTACCAATTGGTTCCGACCTGGCCCCTTAGACACTCTCCTGTACCTCGTATATTGAATTTAATGGGCCCCCCATTGAGTGACGGGGTGCAGTGGTTGAAGCTACCGTCTTGAATATTTAAAATCGGGGCAGTACTACTGCGCAAGTTGAATAGATTGAAACTTCAATGGCTGAAACTCGACCCAATGAAGGTTGGTTCTTGTTTTTAAACTGTAAGATTTTCACGTGTAATATATTCGCAATTTTAACATGCTAAGTTCGTTTTGTATAAGAAATATTATTTTAATATTTTGCCATACTGGATTTCGTGTTCCGTTGTCTAGCTCAAAGGCTCTATTTGTTTGTAGTTTGTTTAATAACGCTGTTTATATATCGTTGAATAATTAGATTATTGAATTGGAGAGGTTATGGAAGGAGTCGGTCGTGGCCTAATTTAAGGTAGGTACCATCGTAGCATTTGCTTGGTGGGACTGAGAAACCCGAATCAGGATAGCTGGTTTCTGATCCGAGATTTGAACCCAGGACCTCCAGAATGCGGATATTTTACTCAGTCCCTCTGGGTAAATTCCGAGATAGTGCCTTGAATTAGGCCATGGATGCTTTTCTTTCATATCCGTTACAATTCATTGGTCATGTGTTATCACGAAACTAGACGCGAACTTCACTTTTGCGTGATCACCATTTGTAAGGCAATAATTTTAAATTTGTTAACAGATTTATATTCTGTGTTACGTCGAGAACTTTTCAAAAGAAACGGAATTCCTGTTGTACTAGGTCGAACTGCTTGTTTCCGAAATATCTGTTGTCTGTGGTGTTCAGTAGCCGTAGAAGGTTAATTTAGGAGAAAAATAGATTTGTGTTTTCACCAGTGTTTGGCAGTTAATGATTACAAACGACATCTGTACGAGAGAAGCTATAAGCACATTCACATCAGTCAAATCCTAGTAGTTCAGGAAGTCACCGCCAGATGAGATAAGCCTTTGCACCGTCCATCAATATAAATATAATACCAGTAGAGAGACGCGCCATTATGTCTGATTTAAGAATGAAGTATGGGGTCCTCCAGACTGCAGTGTCAGAGTGCCAACCTATAAATTTGAGTGCTATAATATACCTGAATAATATTTTTGCCAAAGAATTCTTCTGCATGATGGGAAATTTCCATTCAGCGTACATTTCAATGGAAATTAAACTATTCGGGGTGGAAGTGAGTTACGAACTTCACAGTCTAGGATATTTATTGAAACGTTGACAGTTGCCCAGCTTGTCAGAAAATTACCCTGGTTTATGGAACCACGATATTCATTATCGTTTTCGCTAGAGGGGGGCCATTAGATCGTTTCTTGTGTCAGGTGAATCCGTTCACACTCGGTGTTTGGAACATCAGTCAGTCTAAAACTCTTTTATGTTTTATTTTTTATTTTTTAGTCTTTACATTTTTATGTAGGAGATGGCGAGTTAAAAAATTTGGAATTAAATGGTAGTAAAAATTCTCGAAACTTAATTTGGTCTTGTAACCACGTAACTTACATAAAGACTAAAAACAAGCAACAAGTCTTAAGTTTTTCGAAATTCATTTCACTACTTTGATTAAAAGTTAGTAGATTTTTTTATATACAGAGTGTCCCAGAAAAGATATACACAAAATGCTGACGTATGTAATGGTTGTGTATACTTCTTTCTGGAACATTCTGTAGAAAACTAACGAAAGTTCGACTCGCATGTATGGAAGATACTCGCTGCTTTGTACAGCGAACTGTTGCTTGTCAGATGACCCAGTTTTGTAGTCCTTCAGCGAGAGACTATAATTCTCTGTGAGAAAAAAGTGACTGTGGAATATAATACTCAGAAAGGCGGCATTAATAATTGCAGATATTATGGGCTTACTGCCCTGAAGGGCTATTAAGTTCCTGTTTTGCTGAAGTTTAACGTTTGGAGTTCAGAGCAAAGAACCGGATCTGAACTTCTGACCCAAGTTTTTGCTGTGTGGCGACTTTGCTATTAAATGTCCAGTGTTCTCATTCGATACCTGATAAGACTTGCGGGTTTTCGAAACGGTTTTACACCTGTACAGAATCTAAGTACCTTGTCTAAATCAGTGATGATTTTGTGTATGTCAGTAACTCTCACGAGACTGGTTTTTCTGCAGTGATAGGTCCAATAGAAACTCGCGTTTAGGGTGACGTAACTTTGAATCACCACCATGAATCTGAATCTAAGAAATCCTGAAGACAGTGAAAACATCCGAAATTATGCATCGAACGCATAAAATATGGTTACTCCACGGTGGTCTAGCGGTCAGAACACTAGCCTTGTAATCCTAGGGTCCCGGGTTCAATTCCCGGTGGTGCTCAAATTTATAACTTGTGTTGGGCAAGGCCGTGGTCTAGGCATCACGGAGTTTTCCTCCGGGGGCTTCCCCGGTTTCTCCGTGGCATCCCAACAATTACTCCACTCACACACAGAAGAAGGCAATGGCAAACCACTTCTGATCATCTCTGCCAAGAATGTATATATGTATGAGCAGGTCCCTGACAACCTGAAGAGGTTGGAAGGATCCTGTTCATAATATATGGACCTGTCGTCAGACAGAACACTACAAAAAAACCCTCCAGATTAGAGTCCACGTTGAAGTACTTTTATTCATATTTGGTAGTTGAAACTGAAATAATTTCGCAGTTTGATAACACTCTTAACTTTGTTACTCTGGGGTGAAGGCAAAGATAATCATAGGCAGCAGAACTGCCAGGACCCAGGCATAAATATCTTTGGCCTGAGAAGTTGTAGACGTATATTTTATGAGTGTGGCTTGTGAAGATAAGGCGACAGTGAGGTGTTGTGTCGCCATGGAAAGTGCTGAAGCTTCATATCTATTGTTGTGCTCCGCGTGACAAGGGCATATCACA